CACTGGGGCCTTACGTGGAGCTCCTATGGGGCCACGAAGCGCTGTACTGGGTGTGGCGGGCGCATGTGGTACCCCCTACTGGGGCCTTACGTGGAGTTCCTATGGGGCCGCGAAGCGCTATATTGGGTGTGGCTGACGCATATGGTGCCTCTCACTTGGGCCTTACGTGGAGCTCCCCATGGGGCCACGAAGCGTTGTATTGGCTGCGGCACGCGCATGTGGTACCCCCCAGTGGGGCCTTCGGTGGAACTCCCTATGGGGCCGCGAAATGCTGTACTGGGTGTGGCGGACGCATGTGGTACCCCCAGCGGGGGGGGGGCACGGGAGGAGGAGGAGGAGGAGGAGGAGACGCGGGGACCGTCTTTTCAAAACGACGACCCAACACCACAGGATGGTTGAGAAATACAATCAAAAATTCGACCCCAAATCTGCGTATTGCTCGGAAACCATGGCATCTGGTCCATAGCTGGCCCTCGTGAGGGTCGCCAGTTTTCAAAAGGCCATGGCGCCCAGCCCACAGCTGGCCTACAGTCATGGGGAAGGTTTCCGGCCCACCCAGAGGGGCGCCACCCTTGTGAGGGTTGCCATTTCTCGAAGGCCAAAGCGCCCGGCCCACAGCTGGCCAACAGCCCTGTGGGATGAGCGCCATCCCCGTGAGGGTCGCCATTTTTCGAGGGCCAAGCGCCCCGCTCACAGCTGGCCCACAAAGCTGGCAGAGGCCTCCGACCTGCAAGGAAGGGCGGCCGGCATCCTTGTGAGGGTCGCCATTCCCCGAGGGCCTAAGCGCCCAGCCCACAGCTGGCCTACAGAGCCGGCACAACCTTCCACCCCGCTGGAAGGAGCGCCATCCTCGTGAGTCGCCAAAGCGCCCAGCCCACAGCTGGCCCACAAAGTTGGCAGAAGTTTCCAGCCTATTAAAAGGGGCGCCACCCTTCTGAGGGTCGCCAAGTTCGAAGGCCAACCTGGCCCACATCTGGCCCATAGAGCGGGAAGAGCCCTCCAGTCTGCTGGGAGAAGTTTCCGTTCCCGTGCCAGCCCACGTTCTAACACGCCCACATCGTGGAGGCACGATGGCGGATTGCAGGAGGACGGAAAAGGAGGAGGAGGAGGAGGAAGAAGAAGAGGAGGAAGAAGAGGAGGAGGAGCAGGAGGAGCAGGAGGACGAGGAGGACGAGGAGGACGAGGAGGACGAGGAGGAGGGAGGATCGGGAGGACGGGGAAGGGGGTGGGACCGCTGTGCTGGCCGTGCGTCAGGCCGTCCTCGACGCAAGATCTTGGGCTGGCTCCCGCCTCCACTCGCAGGCGGTGGCGTCCGCGGCCCAGATAGCCTACCCTCCAGCCCCCCTCCTCCCCTTCCATTCCTCCCCCTGCCCTCCTCCTGCCCTCTCTGTCTTCTCCTCTCCCTCCTCTCCCCCCCCTCCTCCTTCCCCTGTCCTCCTCTCCTCCCCCTTCCCTCCTCCCCCTCCTACGCATACCGAGCCTGGACCACTCCACATCGAGGGTGGATCGTTCAAGCGAAAAGACGCTCGTTCGAGCGAAAACGTAATCCGTTCAAGCGAAAACCAACCGAGCGAAAACCAATCCAGAGCAGCAGAGAACAGCAGAGAACAGCAGAGAACAGCAGAGGGCAGCAGAGGGCAGCAGAGAACAGCAGAGAACAGCAGAGAACAGCAGAGAACAGCAGAGAACAGCAGAGAACAGCAGCAGAGAGCAGCAGAGAGAGCAGCAGAGAGAGAACAGCAGAGAACAGCAGAGAGCAGCAGAGAGCAGCAGAGAGCAGCAGAGAACAGCAGAGAACAGCAGAGAGCAGAGAGCAGCAGAGAACAGCAGAGAGCAGCAGAGCAGCAGAGAACAGCAGAGAGCAGCAGAGAGCAGCAGAGAACAGCAGAGAACAGCAGAGAGCAGCAGAGAGCAGCAGAGAACAGCAGAGAGCAGCAGAGAGCAGCAGAGAGCAGCAGAGAGCAGCAGAGAGCAGCAGAGAGCAGCAGAGAGCAGCAGAGAACAGCAGAGAACAGCAGAGAGCAACAGAGAACAGGAGAGAGCAGCAGAGAACAGCAGAGAACAGCAGAGAACCGCAGAGAACAGCAGAGAACAGCAGAAAACAGCAGAGAACAGCAGAGAACAGCAGAGAGCAGCAGAGAACAGCAGAGAACAGCAGAGAACAGCAGAAAACAGCAGAGAACAGCAGAGAACAGCAGAGAAGAGCAGATAACAGCAGAGAACAGCACAGAACAGCAGAGAACAGCAGAGAACAGCAGAGAACGGCAGAGAACTGCAGAGAGCAGCAGAGAACAGCAGAGAACAGTAGAGAACAGCAGAGAACAGCAGAGAGCAGCAGAGAACAGCAGAGAACAGCAGAGAACAGCAGAGAGCAGCAGAGAGCAGCAGAGAACAGCAGATAACAGCAGAGAACAACAGAGAACAGCAGAGAACAGCAGAGAACAGCAGAGTGCAGCAGAGAGCAGCAGAGAACAGCAGAGAACAGCAGAGAACAGCAGAT